CCAGGTTGAGAGTGAACCTTTTGTTATAGCGACGGGCTTCTGTCCTAAGATCTAAGTGTCTCGATTTCCAATGGACCAGGTTGGACACGCGACGAGAAAGAGACCTATAGGGTCCACGCTTCATCCGTTGGAGAGGTGAAAGATTGGACGGTAGTCTGGAAACATAATTGAGCAGTCGAGCCCTTTCCAAATCTAGTGCCCTGGCCCGTCTGGCAGCTCGCAGAGGTGCGTGTTTAGCCAAAACTGAAGAGGTGCGACCTGGCTGAGCTCGACGGTGTCGGCTTTTGGGCGGACTAGTTGGGGCCGGCGGACTTGAATGAGATGCAGTGGTCGCATACGCTCGTGCATGCTGTCGGGTAAGAGTAGATATTTCGGCATAGAGAAAGTTGATTGGACTCCGATGATGTGATTCTCTCCACCAAAGAGTAGGCATCTGAAGGAGCCCCGCGTCAAGTTTCCTTTGCCTGAGATGCTGGCCACATGTCGAGTCAGACTTCAATTGGACCTCTCCAGCCTCGCCAATACCATCTATCCGTCGCGAGAATTTCGGCAGCCTAAAGGAGGCCTGTTTCTCTTTCTGTGCAGCATTGCCCCTTTGATTGTGTGGCCTGGTACTTCTTGGAATTGGTGACTCGGCGAAGGCCCTCGGTGCAAGGAACGGAAGAACGGGGAGGTCCGCGCTGGCGATGAAGCTAGCATTGGGGACGCGGACTCGGGGCATGGGAGAATGGAGATGTCGCCGTCTTCATCGAGCCATGACGCGTGGTGGAGTCGACAATATAGTGTCGTGCTGAGCAGTTGCAGGAAAAGTTGACAAAGTGCGCATGTGGTCCAAAGCGCTAGCCGGGAAACAGGGCCAACCTCCGAGCTCTTCTCCGCAAAAGTCGCGACCAAAGCAACTCAACTATCACTGCAACCACATCTGCGCCAACCAACCACGCTTTCGGGTTTCCACCAAGACTTGAGGGATATATTCGGGTGCAAATAACGAGCCTTTGTCATAATCCTCACATCCTGCCCTCATTTAGCAAGCCCTGTAGCCTCTCCGGCGCAAACCCAGAGTTCTCTCACCATGTCTTCACACGAGACATTATCGGCAGCAGCCAATGACCGCAAATCACGCCTTGCACAGCTCAAGTCACTCAAGAGAAAACAAGAACAAATATCAGACGCGCCCGAGGCTGCCGAATCGTCTACTACCAAGGACCAAGCCGAGCCTTCGCAAGCCCTTACGCGTACCGAAGATGACGCAGAATCCTCCGTAGTGAAGACATATCTCTCTGGCCGAAACTACGACCCGGAAACACGAAACGTTAAGCTGGGCTTCGATAACCTGCCGATTTCCGACCCCACCAACACACTAGAGTACAAGGCAGAACAGTTGGCACTCGAGACCAAGGCCCAGCAAGAAGCAGAGAAGGCAGAAGACAAGGGGCTGGATCTATTCAAGTTACAGCCCAAGAAGCCAAACTGGGACTTGAAGCGAGATCTGGACCAGAAGATGAAGCCATTGCATGTGCAGACAGATAATGCCATTGCCAAGCTGGTCAGGGAAAGGGTCGAGGCACAAAAGGCGATACGGGAGAAACAACCACGAGACGAGAACACTGGTGATGAAGTGGGCATGGAGGGCGCAGAATTGGTCGAGGCTATGCACTTGAAGGAGCAGGAGGAGGAGCGGGAAAGGAGACGGGAAGCAGAAGAGGAGGATATAAGCTGAGGGAGCGCAGTGAGCTCAAGAGAGATGCTCAAACACACGGCATAACAGGCCTCCGCTCTGTGCGCATTTGCGAGAGCCAGATAAATACCCTCATATCAGGTCTACCAGCCGGAATCTGCCGAATGCTCATGCAAGACAAGAAAACAACAGTGTAGCACGCACCTGTAATGAAAAGGAGCGAAGAGTTATTGTCGTTTTCGACGTCGTCGTCGGTCATATAGACCATGCCTTGGTAGAATTGAGGCAAACCATTCAATGAAGTCGTCATATTGTACATTATACTCCTATATCACCCGGATACTCTATTTTACACATGTATTCTCTCTTTAAGAAAAACCTTAATGAGTTGCTAGTATTGATACTAGAAAATGCACACAAGTGAGCGCCCATTATTTGAAGCTACTTCCGAACAAAGTTAGTACCAATCTACGTTTCTCGATATATTCGACCGATGTTATCAGAACAGTCCACCATGAAATGTTTTGCTAGAGCAAGACTAACACGATCTTAAAGCGAATATTTAATCTAACGACTTTTTCCTGCCTTGTTGCTCGTTTTGATACGTTTATCTTGTAGGAAAAAAAGCGATGGCGATGGGTACCTGTGACCGTTCAGCAGAGAAGAACGGAGCAGGAAACAAGAAACTCAAATCGGCCTTTAGAGACAAACCGTAGAAGTAAAGTGTCAAATACCATATAGCTGATGACGTAGTGCATCATTTGGGTGATCGCTGTATGCGAGATGAGGTCTCTTGTGGTTGTTGGACTTTGACCAACCTCATGCCATCCGACTGTACATTTGGGTACATAAACTATGGTAGGTTACGAGTGTGTATCGCAGAATCAAATTCCTTGACAAATGTTGCTGATGACCCGAGTATGTACACGTGGGAATGATAGATCGTTCTACAGGTCTGTCTGTTCCAACTCTCTCTATGGAAAGGCTAATAAACCCTGAGCTATTTACCAATATTAAAGACGTTCGCATACGCCATCGCATTTTCCCAATGACTAAACAATCAGATGTCAGTTGCAAGTTTCCCCCGCATATCAGTGCCGGCTGTTCTCCGCCGGCGCCTTCCTGAAAGAGTATTAACCTCGGTACCCGCAACATGTTGCGGAGGCGGGGACGAGCATCCGCGTGCCGTAAGGATACAGGATCGCAGCGGCGTATTTTATGTCGATCAAGGGCTGCTATGCCACATATAGCGACTCCGCTAAACTGTTTTCCATACAGTGGCTGTATCAAATAGCCCGGTTGACACTTAGAATACCTACTGTCTGTACGTTATCACGGCGCGTGCGGACGTGCTGCTGCGAAGCATAAATATACTTACATCTGAACACCGCCTCCACTTTCCAGCTCTACAACCATCATTCTACCCGTCTGTAACGGCTACACGATCAGTTAAGCTCATACTTTAGTTTTCTGTTTAGCAAATTGTTGACGTATCACCGTCGCCATGGTTCGCGAAAAGCAGCCCGTCTACGTCCTCGGCGTGGGCATGACCAAGTTCATCAAGCCTCGCGGCAAGGTGGATTACCCTGAACTTGGCTTCGAAGCTGGCGTAAAAGCTATGCTCGATGCACACATCAACTATGACGATGTTGATCAAGGTGTTGCATGCTACTGCTACGGCGATTCGACATGTGGCCAACGCGTCTTCTACCAGTTTGGCATGACTGGTATTCCTGTATACAATGTCAACAACAACTGCTCTACTGGCTCCACCGGTCTCTACATGGGACGAAACATGATTGCGCATGGAGCTGCAGACTGTGTGCTTGTCGTAGGCTTCGAGAAGATGTTTCCAGGAAGTCTGCAGACTTTCTTCCAGGACCGAGCAAACCCAACAGGTCCGACGGGCCTAATGTTGAAGGAGACGAGGGGTGTCACGAAAGCGCCCAGCGCAGCACAGCTGTTCGGTAACGCTGGTCGGGAACACATGGAGAAGTAAGTTTTTGTGGTTTCAATGAATGATCATTACCGTGTTCTAATGGCATCAATAGATATGGTTCCGAGCTCAGGGACTTTGCAGAGATCGGTCGCATCAACCATGCTCATTCGAAGAACAATCCTTACTCGCAGTTCCAAGATGAATACACACTCGAACAGGTCATGAAGTCCCCCATGATCCACGAACCTCTTACGAAGCTCCAATGCTGCCCGACTTCCGACGGTTCCGCAGCTGCAGTCCTCGTCTCACAAGACTTCCTCAACAAGCGACCTGAGCTCAAGGACCAAGCCATCTTGATCGCCGGACAGCGACTAGCCACTGACACGCCATCGCTATTCAACCGCAGTTCTATCGAGCTCATAGGATACAGCATGAGCGAGCTAGCTGCCAAAGAAGCACTAGCAGAGGCCAATGTCACTCCAGATGAAGTCAAAGTCTGCGAACTCCACGACTGCTTCTCCGCCAACGAAATGGTCACCATCGAGGCCCTCGGTCTCGCACCAAAGGGCAAAGCCCACGAGCTCATCCGCCAGGGCGGCATAACCTACGGAGGCAAAGTCGTCATTAACCCCTCCGGTGGCCTCATCTCCAAGGGCCACCCACTCGGCGCCACAGGTATTGCTCAGTGTGCCGAGCTCGTCTGGCACCTGCGCGGATGGGCCAACAACCGCTCCGTCAAGGACACCAAGGTAGCGCTCCAGCACAACCTGGGTCTCGGTGGCGCAGTCGTATGCACCGTGTACAAGAGGCACGATGGAAGCGCCGCGACCGACAAGTCCGATGATGAGATTTCAAAGATTACCGGCTTGGGATATAACCCTGCGACCGTGGCAAAGGGCTTTACCAAGGAGCAGGTTGATTCGGTGAGGAGTAAGAAGGCGAGGAGTGAGTGGGCGCTACAGGATACTCAGCAAAAAGTCGAGGCTAGGTTCTGAGTAGTAGATTCTTTTTCGGATTTTATATTAGATTGAGTTGTTCTAATTGAGTTTTTTTATATCTATGTACCAACCTTGTTTTATGGTCTACGGATCACGTGTGCAAATCATTCTTACAGCGATGCTAGTGAAATGAGTTTTGGTGAGTGGAAATTGCGTAACAAGGCCAATAGAGACGAGAACGCCTTGATGGCCTAATTCTCGTATTCTACCTTGTTATGCTTTCTATGAAATCCGCAAAAAAACGGTTTTGGTGGATGATTGCGAAGGACGACACCATTGCTGTTGCGTAATTGTAGACTTGGGGAAAAAAGTCAACTCCCAACCCATAAACTCCCTGTCCATGATCTTCCAAGCCGGTTATGAGAGACAAGACCTTCCGAAAGCATTAGTTATACTCAAAAACCCATTGCCGTATGTTTATCGGCCTGCGCGAAGGAGGCTTATCATCTTCCATATCGTTGAAGAGGACTAACACGGGTGACTCCCCATAGACCCAGCGGTAGACTTTAGCCATTTTCTCGCTATTGGGTGCAAAACTATCACTGAAAAGTAGTTTTCTTGCAAACAACGATTTGGTGTTTGGATCCTGAATGTATTGCAGAAAAGCAATGTCAAAGCGCTCGCGAATTCGGTGAAGACCACTGGCTGCGGCGAGGTAAAAGCTTTCTACGGATTGTATAACCTCGCCTTTGCTCCATCCGTAACGGCTTACTCGTTGGTATATTGAGCTATGGATTATGCTGAGGATCGTCCAGACAAGTTGAGAGGTGTCAAGGATTTCTAGGACGGAGTAGTCGATGCCGTCGACAATGTACAGCTTCATTGCTAGGTCTACGGTGAAAGCTAACAGAATGGCGTCGGCGGCTGTGAACTCGCCATGCTCGATCAGAGAAGTCGACCAAAGAAGCGATTTAGAACAGTCCCATGGGAATATGTAGGGGCTCGGTAGAGGGAAGATTGCGTTAATGTAGAAGCAGTCTTCGTCGTCATCATCATCGTCGAAGTCGGAATCGGAGTCGGAGTCAGAGTCTGAGTCTGAAAAATGTGAGTCGGTTGTAACATCATCCTCGGAGCTCATCTCTCTGTTTGTTGTGGTGGGCAGGCAAGACCTCAGAAGGCTCACAAGAGCGCTGCTAGATTGCGCCATTGGTGGGCGATGGACGAGGTTACTTTGGTCTATATGGCTTCATATGATGTTCTTTCTTCGATACTGAAGGGGTCATGGAAGGCAACCTCGTATAAATGTAAAAGGGGGAGTGGAATCCGAAGCACAATACAAAATCACCTATATATACGGATAGACTGCGAACTACGGTTGATATTCAAGGATTGGTTGCGTATGTGATGGGGAACCATGGTTGAGGAAATGGGTGTTGGAGAAGTTGGACCTGCAGTAGAGAGAGCCAGCTGTCCTGTTTGTTCTATAGGATACGACGACTATGCTGTAAGGGTCTGAGACGGCGATGGTATGCTGTACCGATGTTGCACCAGCAACCAGTCTCTTGATGGTGGTGTGGGGAGGGAGGGAGGGAGGGCTGAAGGGAGCGAATGAGCTAGCTGTTTACGTACAGCAGCCGCCTAGCGTGCCAAGACGCTTAACCAGGTGGATGAAATTTGTTGGCGACGCCCTCTTCTCTTCTTCTTCTTCTTCTTTACATATTGTCTACGGTCTCCAATAACCCTAAGGTCCTTCCTCGCAAGAGTGGATTTGCCTTTTCCAGAGCAGACCCAGAAGAAAGCACAGCCGTTCTAATCCTGCAGCTCGTCGTCGTCGACTTTGGTCGGTTTTGGAGCTGCGGGTTCGCTTTAGGCCTACATACATACATACAACACACACACTCTCTCTCTTCAGATGTGGCTGCGCTGATCCGACGGCTCTTCCGGGGGGAGTCATGGCTCTGGCTCCATGACGCCGCCCCTCGCAGCGGCCAAGGTACCTGGCATAGTTGCTGCCAGTGGTGCTGTCACAATATGCGGCCTCCCGTCACCGACACCCAGGTTGCGTCCCAATAACTAGGCGTGCCATATGCCCTATGCTGCAGGGAGGCAGCCAAACACTGGCCAACCACTCATGGCCATTGGGGAGCCTGTGCAGCCACCTGTCGTACGGCTCTAGATGGTCGGAGTCAATGGCCACAAATAAAGTTGGTCGACCAGCTGAACGGCCCCCGCATGTCTAGACCGGTGTCACTCCACAACACCATTGGCCACTCCGGGCGCGACAACAATAGAGCAGCTGAACAGCAGCCCAACAGCCACCAATTCAACCTGCTTCTCGTGCTTCTCCGCCCTTTTGCAACGAGTGTGTTTTCGTTGCTTTGGCCATGGCATTCATTCAGATGCTTAGCACACACGATCAGCAATTGAGCGGGCCACTATTGGCTAGCCCGCTGCGTGTTGTCGTATTGTCCCAGCTAGCTCTGTGTCTTACTTGGTCCGTCGCGTCTCTCGGGTCTAGAGACTGGCCGTATTTTCCGGTGACGCTCTATTGGCGAACGTGTCTCACAGCCCACTTTGTGGCTGGGAACTCGGTCGTTCAGCATAAGTAACTACTGCATAGTCGCATCGGTGATTCGAGGCCCATCACCTCGACAAAATGCGCCTCGGACCAAGACCTGGTTTCCGTCACCTAAGCATTTGTTGCCTGCTCGGAGATTTCCTCTCAGGCCTGTAGACCACTCCCATTCACAGTCATCGTCCTTCGCTTCCTGATACTCCCCACTATACTACTTTAATCGTGCCTGAAGTCAGTCTCCTGTACCTGGGGGGCCCTTACTTGTCCATCGGGAAACGTCATGAATGCACATCATGGCCTACGTACGACTGAGTTCGTTTGTTGTGTCTAGTCTTCTCACCTTGGCCCTATCTCAACAAGATGATCCTATCAAAGACTTTTGCCGTCGATGGGGTCACGCGACGGCGCAGATCGATTCGAAACTCTACATCGATGGCGGCATGATTGCGTCGACGCCATTTCAGTCAAACCATACGAGTATGTAAAATACCCAAATGCAGATGCCACAATCGTATCTGGAAAGCCTAACAATGATCCTCCAGACCCATGGCTTTTATTCAGCGACTTGAACCCATCGACCGTCGGTGCCGAGATGCCGGCACAATACGCAAATCTGTCCAAGCCTGGCAACATACCCAGCGTATCTGGCGGCTATACCTGGGCAGATAACACCAACAAATGCTTCTATCAATTTGGTGGAGAATATCCTGCAGGCGTCAGTCCTACGGATTTCAGTATGTGGACCTATGATGTACCACTCAACCAGTGGAATAGCACCGACACAGCAGGCGACAAAACTATACAAAGAGTATCATTCGGCGCTGGGACACAGGTAGAAGAACGTGGTCTCGGCTTCTACTTTGGCGGCTGGCTGAGCAATCGAACTATGGTAGACTGGAAAGGACCCCCTATGGCTACAAATGGTCTTATTCAGTTTGACATGTCTACTGGCGACTTGAAGAACATATCGGGGCCGGATGACATTGGAAGAGCTGAGGGACAACTGGTATATCTTCCTGTGTCTGACAGCGGCGTGCTAATCTATTTTGGCGGCATCGAGGATACTTATCGTAACGGGAGCTTTGATGCAGTAAGTCTAAACACTACATGCATATGATCAGCATACTAATCTTGTTTCTAGGCGAACATGAGTGTAAATTTTATCCGAATTCTGCCTAGTTTATAACTAACGCTATCCAGACCATTCACATCTACGATATGGCTTCGTCGAAATGGTATACACAGACAGCCTCAGGCACTGCACCTCCTACGCGCAGGCAATTCTGCGCAGATGTTACCTGGCCAGATGATCAGTCATCTTATAATATGTAAGAGACCTTTTCTTTCTATTGTGTCCATCAACAGTTGGTTATGCGGTTGTGATATTCACTTCTGATGTGGAATCGCTGGCTGTCCGAGATCCATGGCGTCTACGTCATGTGTGTGTATTTCCCTTGAATATCGCTTGGATTTCTCCAGAAATGCAGGGTCCTGATTGAGGGTCTGTCAGAGCAACATTGGGGTATTCAGGCCGCGCGTACTTTGAGCCGGCAGACCAATCGCATAAGCACATGATGTGAGCAGAGTTGGCTTACTGTGATCAGTTATCTCTACGGCGGTTATGGGTTTGGGGGAACTCCCGCATTTGATGATGTCTACATCCTCTCCCTTCCCTCTTTTACGTGGATAAAGGCGTTTCCCCTTGGCGATGGTGGGTCAAATCCGGTCGTAGTTGGCCATGGAGGTTGTAGTGCCAACGTCATCAACCGCACTCAGATGTTGGTCATAGGTGGTTGGTTTCCCATATACGACAAATGCGATTCGCCAGAAAGTCAAGGGCAGCATAACATGGTTCTTGGATTCAACGGCGAGGGTGCTAAGCTTTGGGACAAGTTTCAGCCAAAGATTGACGACTACGTAGTACCTTCGCCTATTGTGGCAGCCATCGGTGGGGGGTATGTTTTACTCAGCAGCTTGTGAGAGAGATCATGTCTAACAATGGTAACAGGCCAACCGGAGGTGCCACTAAAACTACGCCCGCGACCTGGGGGCATCCTGACTTGGCAACATACTACACTTTGAAGCCTTCATACGCAGCCAGATCAGCTACTCGTCCACTCCCGTCGGCAACAGGATCGCTGTCACCCAACCAGCCCAAAAAGACAAATATTGGTGCTATTGCTGGGGCTGCTGTTGGAGGTGCTGTGGGATTAATTCTCTTATTATGCCTCATCTTGTTTTGCCTACGCAGACACAAGAATGCTTTGAAGGAAAAGAGAAAGAAGGAAGGCGATATCAATAATGCAAATCCGCCAATTCCGCCTGCTGAGTTGGAAACCACGGTTCCACAGGAGATGGCCGCCTCGGAGGCTAGCAAGTACGTATCCATTCACAATCGAGTCGACGCTGCCACCGTTGCCCAACATCAGGAACATGCCCAACAGTACTCACATTCCGCCAGCCACAACTACGGCTCGCCACAGCCCACCCAAGGCCCTCCGTCGTACGGATTTGTGCCGCCTTACACATCACCCACGGAAGCCACTTTCAGCCACGTCTCCCCGAGTGTAGGGCGGTCCTTCTCAGACGATGGCATTACACAAAACTCTCCAACGACGGTGTGGGGTACGCCAGTAGACTATCATTCACATGGATCAAATCATGAAGGGCATTATTCGTATCCTACTCCAACCACGCCACGACAACCCCCAGGGGATCTTTTTCACCAGCAAGTTCCAATATACTACTCGCAAGTCAATTCCATGGCAACGCGCTCACGGCATTCCCGGAGCAACCTCACCGAAGACGGGGAGGCCTCTGACAGTTCACTAGCAGGTGGTTCGGAGCAGCTCCCCGTCAGCATTGCGAACACGCCTGCTCACTTTTACACACATGCAGGATCATATATTTCGGGAGGCAGGAGTAGCGGTGGGCGGAGTCCGGATGGAAGAAGACCTGTTCAAGGGAGGTTTATGGAAGAAGATCACGTATGAGTAATGCAACTTGAGGGAGGGCCCGGAAACTTGGCCTATTGTGATCCCAAGCTTGCAAACTTGGAGGGTTTTAGTTTCGAGATCATGTCCCATGATGAACTGGCGTTATTTGAGATTGGCGTGCTTCAGTTAAGCACAGGGTATACGTACAATCTTTTCAGAATCTACTATGACATAATTATTAGCGGGTAACTATATGCAATTAGATTTCAATGAAATGAAATTCGGGCCGACTATAATATCTGTACAGATTACAGCTACTTTAGGCTAGCCAAAACTACACACGTACTAGGATGTTGCGATGAGCAAGTGTGGAATGGAATTGGAAATGTTAGACGTGCGCTCTTTAGTGCAATGATTGTCACGTGCTACCGCGCTTACTTCGGTCCCGCTGTCGTTCACACGTTTCCCACTACTTTTGCCAAGCGCAAGGACACATGTCTTTAGCAAACGCAACGCTCTCGACGCCTGTCCTTCCCATGATCGCATTGCGCGCACCATGATCAACCTGCGCTCCATCCTCCTCCTGGTGATATCCTACGTTATCATTCCGCGCCTCACATTTCTCCCGCCCAATGTCCACTCGCTGCTAAGCATCTTCGGGCCCTTTCTCATACCTCTCGTTTTCGACTGGATCAAAGCCGTGCGCACAGCTTCTCCAAGCGTCCCCATACGTCCGACACCACCAAGAGTTCAGTATGCACTCAATTTGCTCTTCTTGAGCGCAGTCGTGTGCCTTGGTCTTTCGCTTTCGCGATACGCGCCCGAGAATGTCTTCCTCAAGACACAGAGCCACATACGAACGGAGCCAGGCGTGCTATTTATACGGCTGAGGCATCTACGCCCACTGACGGACGAAGATGAAGCCCTCCTGACAAAGTTCAAGTGGGGTATGCGCAACAAGTTGCTCTACCTCGCATATGGTCCAGACACACTGTTGAATTGCGTGTGGTGCACGGTGGCCGACGGGAATGATCAGTTCAACTACTTTCTATACTCTCTGCCGAAGATTGTTACGCCGCACATATTTCAACTAGCCGTGCTCGGTCTCGCTACCTCGTCGCTTGTCGGAGCTGAAGGCTCACGCTTCCGCATCCACGCTACAATTGCAGGAATATTTGTGATGGTGGTAGAAGTCTGGTACATGGGTACCTATGATATCCTGGCCAACAAGCGGGCAAAGTATGTCCAGGACCTCGATTCGGCATACTGGCGCGTCCGCTTCCTACGATACATGACGTTCGCCCTGGTAGACATAGGCCTGGCGTATGTGCTGTGGGCTACGAGTACCAACCGCTTGTTTGCGAAACCCGTTTCCATTGCCGAGCGCATCGAGGGTACTACCCGGACGGCAGAGGATACTTTTAACAAGATGCGGGCATTGGGGCTGCTCACCAACTCTGTAAACCGCGATCCGGCGCTGAGGGGCGTAAGGGAGGAATACTGGAGGACAGAGGGACAGGTCACGGCAGAAGTGGTGCAGGATGAAGTGGTCACGGAGCAGATCAATGCTACGATTAGCAGGTTGGATATGGGCTCGCTGGAAGGTCGTGTTGGAGAGGTTGCCGATGGAATACTTGCAGGCATTGACAGTTTGAGGGTAGGGTAAATGCTTTCAGCGAGCTACATGAACCAAGCATACTGATTGCTTGGATGCTGATATGGACTCGTCATCTCATCTCAGGCACTGCATTGTCGGATAGAGATGGATGGAGGAGCTGGCTATATGCGGAATGATGCTGGCCAGGCATGATGTAGGTGGCACTACTGCATCAAAGTGCATAGCGGCTCTCGGAAGATGTCAAACGATCCTGATATGTACCCTGTTGCTTCGCGAAGGTCACTTGAACGATTTATATCCCTGCAACAAAGTTCTCTATCGCTTGAACCGCTGCTTGCCGAAGGGGCATCTTCCGCAACTGCCATGGCAATTTTGTCGCGGCCAGTTGCCAGTACTGTCGGATACGGAACCGTAGACACGTGTATACAAGACGTGTATATATGTATGCACTATATAGTCCTTCTCCGAACATGGAGCCGAGTCCGATGTCGCATTGCTTGAGGCTTGGGATGAGTCTTCGTCAATCGGAAGTCTGACCGGATACTAGCGGCAGGTACGGGAGCGGTGGGCCTGGCCTGGATACCACAGGCTCGGCACACGCCCTACCAACAACACCGCATCTAAAATAGTCAGGTACGCTAGCAGACACCGCACCGGCTTCTGGAAGACGCGTATGCCGGCACCGTGCGGGAATCAATGACACGGCTGTATTGCAGCAATGGCAAATTCAAGACGAGACGATGCTCAATGGCAGCGGCAAAGAGGCGGCAGCTAGCAAAAAAAAGTTTGTTATCAAGTTGGGGCTCCGCCGGAAGTGGAACCTTATATCATGGCCATGGCATTCGTATGTAAGAAAAAGGACACTAGACCGCCGCGGTAGTCGGTGCACGGCTGGGCGGACATCACGTCGATGGATCCTACAGGTAGGTGGGTTTGGTCCCGTCCGTGTGATAGGGAGGTGTGACTCTTGGTCGAAATTTTTCGTTCCTTTGGTATAAGAGGCTGGCTTGGGTACCTTGTTTTCCTTTCTTTGTACTTGACTAACCCTTCACCCCCTCCTTCACCCTCTCTATCACTGATTGTGGTTCCGCTGCTTCGTCGGCCATTGTCACTCCAACTCTTGTCGAGTCACAATCTAACTGTAATTAAAAACAAAAACAAAGCAGAACAGTAACCATGGCACCCATCGCCGTCACGCCCCCAAACCAAAACGAGAACGTCACCGACCTCACACAAGAGGGAATCAAGTCGGCGCTTCTCAAGAACGCCCCGGGACAAATCAACTCGTCATCTCTCACAAACTCCATCACTGCCACACCACCAAACGAGCCAGCATCCAAGACTCAGGATGTAGTAGAAGCACCTCTGGCGGAGCTCGATGCTTCCAAGATGACCTGCACATACACCAACACTCCCCGCTCAGTCCCCGCTGTAGGATCGGCAGAGATGGCCAGCCAAAAGGTGTGCACCGACCACATGGTACAAGCCAAATGGACCGTCGAGTCTGGCTGGGAAGCACCCACCCTCCAACCCTATGGCCCACTATCCCTCGCACCCACCGCCTCATGCCTGCACTACGCAACCGAATGCTTCGAAGGCATGAAGCTCTACCGCGGCCACGACGGCAAACTCCGTCTGTTCCGCCCAGACCTAAACTGCCGCCGCATGCTCATGTCGACCAACCGTATTGCGCTGCCTGCATTTGACCCGCAGGAGCTCCTCAAGCTCATTGTCAAGCTCTGCGCTACAGACGGCAAGCGCTGGCTCCCCAAGGACCGCCCGGGCCAATTCTTATACATCCGCCCCACGATGATCGCTTCGGACCCCGCGCTCGGCGTCGAACGCCCCAAGGAAGCCTTGCTCTTTATCATCCTGTGCTGCTTTGCCCCCATGGGCGACATGAGCGGCGGCATCAAACTCCTCGCCTCCCAGGACGACATGTGCCGTGCATGGCCCGGCGGCTTCGGATACGCCAAAGTAGGAGCAAACTACGGTCCTTCGCTCGTTGCACAGGGCGAGGCTCGCAAGCGCGGTTACCACCAGATTCTGTGGCTGTTCGGTGAAGACTGCACCATTACCGAGGCGGGTGCTAGCAACTTTTTCGTCGTGTGGCGGACGAAAGAGGGCAAGTTGCAGCTTGTTACTGCAGACCTGAACGAGAGGATTGTCCTGGACGGTGTGACGAGGCGGTCCATCTTGGAGCTTGCCCGCGCGAAACTCGTCTCTGATGCCCCACAGGATCTCGAGACTCTTGAGGTCGTCGAGCGCAAGTTCAACATCTTTGAGATTGAGGAGGCCGCAAAGGAAGGCCGTCTTGTCGAGGCCTTCGCAGCGGGTACTGCCTGGTTTGTTGCGCCCATCAGCCAGATTCACTTCCGCGGCAAGGACATGGATGTACCCATGGCCAAGGGCAATTCTGGCGCCTACGCCGAGTTTTTCAAGTCCTCGCTCAAGGGCATCATGTGGGGATGTGATGGTATGGAGACCCACGAGTGGGGCCGTGTCATTGATGAAGAGTAGCATGTTTTTTTTCTCTTTCTCTTTTTTTTTCGGGCAAGAAGATGGGAGATGGAGATGAAAAAAGACGTTTGGCATTATCATGTGCATACAAGCGAGGCGTTCATGTTAAAGTCTGGGGCGGAGGTTCAATTTGTGTCAAGGCATTTTTTCCCCTTTTTTTCTTCTTCTTCTTATTTCATATTAACGGTTCAAAAAGCGGTGGAGCGACGAGAGTACATGACAGTGTATGGCATAGGCACTTTTTTTGTGCAGAAGCTTCTATAGAAGAAGAATTTACATGTGCAAAGATATTATAGTACTCAGTCGTCATCCTCGAAGTTTGGCATTGCTGGTACTTGCCGCGTACTTCTTTCCACCATCTCGTCTGTATCGTTGATTCCCCGTCTCAGCAAAACGTGCTCTCCCATGGGTCCTTCGCAAAGTTCGACTAGCTCAACGTCTTGTGCTCGGTGATATCCCGACATAACTGCTTCGTCTGTACCAGGGCTTGTGTCCTTGGATGGTCTTACACTCTGCTCACTGGGCACCGTTGTGCGCTCCCATTGGTATTCAACGCCATTGTCGTTTGCGGAGACTATATTGCGTGGATGATTGGTGCTGAAGAAGGACAGTCGGTGGACAAGTAGGTGACGCAGTGTAGGCTATAGTTACGAAGCTTTAGTGTAACAAATCTCAGGGTGTAAGAGGGTCATTTCATACTGACCATGCAGACACAAAAGACACTAGTGTTGGCTTCCAGGACACTCCAGTAGTTGGCTGGTGTGTTGTCCCAGGTGGGGTTCAGCGACTCAGCGTAATTGATGATAGACCTTATTCGCAGACACGAAACGGCGAGGATGCTGCGACGAGAAACGGATTGTTAACGTTCATAGTCTAAGAAAACCAATTAATCAGCGTCTACTTACAATGTGCCCACAGT